TTAAAAAAAATAGACAGCAATTATACTACCTGAAAAGTAATGTTTACTTGAAGACAAAAAGAGAGATTACCACCACATTAACTTAGGACTGGTGAGAAAAAGCAGTTCTGAGGGATGCTATTTGAAGGTCACGTCAAAGCTTTATCATACAATACATTTTAAAAATAGTTTAGAGTAAATAATAAAGGCACCCCTGCCAACACCAGTCCAATGTCTTTACATTTCTTTTTCTAGACGTGACCAAAAAAAGGAAAAGAAAATAGTTTTTGTTATCACCAAAATCTTCTAATTTAATTATTCAGAATGGTTTTACAACTGGATCTGGATTAGAGTGTGTATTAGATCCAACTGTAGATAAAATAAAACATCTAGACAAAAACCAAAAGCAATAAATTGCTCTACTAAAAAGTTTTGATAATCGATCATCCAACTTTATCATTTAATGTTGTAAAAAGTGGGAAGAGCATTCTAGGAAGAATACTTAGTCAAATTTGTGGAATCATCTCACTGGGAAATGTCTGTTCTCCCTATGATTCATCATCCTCCATCCATGTTTTTTTTTATTTACAAAGGTTCCCAGTGAGAGAGGTCAACATTAAAGACTAACTCAGAGAGGAAACCCCACGGCCCATGTGTTGTCTGATACACAAAACTTCAAAACAATGTAAAAAACAGAGTGAGACTGGAAAGAAAGAAGCAAAACAAAGCTTAAAAGCTTATTTTTATAAAAATAAGATCTATTTTTAAAAACCTTACTAACAAATGAAAGGAGAAATCCATGTGGGAGGGAGGTCAATGTTCATTTAAACATTATTAATCATCAAGCTATATTAAGTATCTATCTTCATAATAGCCTTAAGAAAGTTGTCATTACTGTCCAGTTACAGGGGTAATATGAAAAATTTACTGAATTTCCACAAGATTCTGTCTATATGATAGAAATGATAAGATAGCGATCAATTCATATTAGTTCTTTATGATTCCAAAAGCTCAAGCTAATTTTATTGTATTTCACATATAGGAAAAGAAAACCAATGTCTCAGAAACAGGTGGAGTCTCTTGTTATATCCTACCCGTATCAATCCCCTCACTCTAGGACAGCTGGAGTGTCTTCATATATAATTCGGCCCCCATTATCTATACAACTAATTATTACAAAACGGTTATGGTAATACCTTTTGCTTATTATCAATCTTATTGGTAACATAAAAAAGTAAGCCCACTTCTGTACATTAACTTATTAATGTGAAATTCTACAAAACACAGGGAAAAAAGAAACTGTGTCTATTTGATATACATATTTTGTCTATGAATGGTTGAGAATCTGTGTAGTTTCAGAATGCTATTCTAAAATTCGGGTGACACAAAAATGTGCTTATTCTATAAGAAAATGAATAAATCACAATGTATTTTATAAAAGTTGCTAAAAATTAAGAGGACAAAAAAGGTAAACATTTAGGGAATAAATTATTAATAGGCCATGTGTACTTTTTGTCAATGAAAATTTACAATATGGACAGTCTCCCAAATTGGTAATTGTTTCTGAATTAACCATTACGGTCCAAGACTGCTGATGCTTTTTTTCATTCTAATAATGCAGATGTTAGTAAACATCTATACATAGGTCCATACACACATATTTCTGTATGTATAAATGTATGTATTTATATATAATTTTATTTTTTTTTAATTTTATTTTTATATGTAATTTTAAAAGACAGAATGAGGGGTAGTTTTAAAACCTACTTGGTAACATGTTTGAAACTAACTTACTTTTGGAAGTGGTCCAGTTTTCTAGGAAAAGTAGGAATTTGATCATATGGAATAACCAAGATCAATTCACCTTTCAGTTTACAACAATATCTCAATAAAGCTGTTATTTAAGAAAAATATCTGCCATATCTCTTTAAAACCCCTAAGTTCTAATGTGACTGTTTTAATTCTTAGTAATTCTTACTAATATATTTTAGTGTCTTATAACCTACACTATATAGTATTAAAGAAACAACAAAAAGAATCCTTTCACAACTTGCATTTTTTATCTACTCCTTGAACAACTCTTTATTTTGCCAAAAAATATATTAAGTTCATGTGGATAACTTTATGTTAGAAAAATGGCCTCTATCTTAATTACCAAAAACCTACAATATTCTTCAGGAAGTCTGTACTTTAAAACTTTTATACATTCACATATTGAATCTCAAACTACTAAGAAACTTTCTAGTGGGATAAAAACAGATGTTTTTAAAAAATGATTTAAAACACAAATTCCAGACTGCTGACTTTCAACTACACCTTCAGACTGTGACAGCTGGCCCTCTGGAGAGGGGAGACATTGTGAAGAAGGAAGCCCTCTTTCCCCTACTGCCAATCCAGGGTCTTACAAGACCAAAGATATTATAAATGACAGTATTAAAAGTGTGTATAGTGTAGAGACAGGAAAGGAGGTTTAGGAGACATTCTTTTACCCAATATTCTGGATTGTGGATTAGCAGCATCATGTTTACTCAATCCTTCGGTAATAAGTAAAGGGGAAAAAAATAGATTGGCGAATCTGAGAAACACATTTTTAATAATTAAATAATTTAAAATGTACATAAATATCTATATGCCCAGTCTCTAAATTTTAAAATTTAAATTGATTCAGAATTTGTGAAACACAAACCTTTATGGCAGAACTAGAAGTCTGTTCCCACCAGGCCCTCATACCTGATAGCAGCCAATCCAGCTCCTTCAAAACTCTGAAGAATTAACTACATCAAGAGTCATCATTTTTATGCATTTCATATTAAAACAGCAAATGCTATAGATTAAAAAAAAAATCACAAAAGTCTAAATTAATGTATCTTTCCCTAAATATCTAGTCTTTTGGCCAGGAAACACTGAGTAACTGGTAATTTACTCCAAAACTCTTTTTGACATTTATGTCACTAAGGATGTTAATATGCCAAATTTTAAAAAGGCAACTCTAAATATACATACTAACTGAACTCCCTACAATAATTATTCTGCAATTTAAACTCTTACCTATAATGTTATATGATGAAGGCTCTATCAATAAGACACTAGAATTCTAGAATAAGTCTATGTTGCTTAAAAGTAAATATGTAAAAAAAAATTACAAATGGGTTTTAGATCACAGAAACTTTCTGTGTGTGAATATATGAAAATTGTCAAGGTCACCTCCTTACTCTTTTCACAATCTTACAATGTCAATAACTGCTTGATCTAATAAAAGACCTCATTACTTCAGAATACTTCCTTTAGTTAATTCTTACTTTCATGATTTTTCAACTCAAAGCCTTCATTCTAATTTATCTGGAGAGGATTATGGAGGGAGGGAGGGAGAGGAAGGAAGAACCAACATTCCATCAGTGACTCAAATTAAAAAACTTTCAATATTTATATATAAAAACTTCTAAAACTGAGTTTGGTATTATTTAAAAGGAAGTGTTGTTCTTTTTCCAAACCTAGCTAACATTTTTCAGCTTTTAAAAGGAACTGGATCTACTGTCAACAGATGTTAAAAAGCACAGAAGAAACAGACTTTTAGTTCTATACAGATTCAACATGGCTTTAAAAAAAAAAATCTCAAAAGATACAAAAGAAATCAGTTAGTCAATTTCTACCTGTGGATTTAAAGTGAAATATTTCATTTAAAATTTTTTAAAAATATTTTATCTGATACTATTTTAAAACTAAATACTTAAATTCCAGGAAAAAAATATTCAGTGCATATAAAATAAAACCAGGTCATCTTTACAATTCAATTACTAAAAAGTTCACAATTAAATCCACAGAATCTGTTAGAAAATGTCTGGCAACACATGAACAGTGAGCAGGGCTGGTATGTTTCTTGGCCATGGTTAAAGTTTTCCTGCCCTCAACCAGGAAGGCTGCAGATTGCACTGTACGGCTCAGGCGAAATATTGGTACACAAAATTGATTGGACTTAAGTTAATACAAATAAGAAAAATACCCAAAGTTCTACTTGAGTACCAATATCCTCATTTAAACCACAACCTTCCACTTCACTGTTCTCTTTGAAACAAAAAAGAATTTACTGAAAACAATCCTCTGATGGATTTTTAAGTACCATTTTAAAAGATGAGAGGTATCATATTGGGCAAGAAACCTCTAATTAGTAAGAGACAGATAAAGCTTCAGAGTATATACATATAATTTTTTAACTTTTTTAAAAAAACCAAATACACTTAGTAATCTGTAAACCCAACTAAAAAAAGAATTACAGTTGGGCAATCTAGTATTATTGAAAGCATTCTTATTATTTATCATAATCAAGACATTTTCTTATTAGTTTATCTGTCAATTTTTTCTTTTAATTCAGTAAAAATTTGAACCAATTTTATATAATTATAAAGTGTATGATTTGAGAGCTGATTAAAAATAAACTTGATAAATTTCAAACATTTTTCATACTTTTTCACTGATATAAAAAAAGTATCTTTATATGAACATTACATTCAGATCTTCCATTACTTTTGATTGAATTTGAAGTAAGTGTAAGGTCACACATGTTTTTAAACGTACAGAAAAGGTTATAGTAACACGCTACAAACAAAAAAAAAACTTGAGTGCTTGAGTCCTTTTTCAGATTACACGAAATAAAACATTTTCCCCTTTGAGCAAACTTTCAAAAATAACTGTTTTATAGACTCAAATGTAATTTTCTACCCACAGCTTGGTATTTAATAACTTTATTATGTGCAGTCAACCAAAGAGCTTTAAACTCACTCCCATAGTTGAAGATAAGATCCATTCTGGGAGATGGCACTAACAAATATGCCAATGTGAAATTTTAAGAAATAATAAATGTATAAGACCATTTTATAGAAAATTTTTAATGTTAAAAGTATGTATTTTAAAACCTCCTGAAACAAACCCTCAAATCACACTCTTTAATACAAATTTTGCCAGCACTGTTCATGTTGACCAGATAATGCTTTAGTTTTCTTTAAAAAATAAAATGATATGCATACCAGCAGCAACTACAGCTGGAGGAGGCGAGCCTGCCTCACCACCACTTGTCTGACTCATTGATGCTACAGATGTTTCTCTAGATGGAGGTAACTGTAACTCCTTTGGGAGAAGATCATAGACAGATTCTGTTGGGAGAAAGAGAAAAATTTTTATGAGCACAAAATTAATGTCTTTCCACTCACAAGAATTATATTATTCATACACACACACACCAAACTTCATGTAATTACTGTTGTAAAAATTATTAGCAGACATTTTTCTTTTATTATAATTTTAGTGAACTGCACAAAGGATTTTCCATTCATTCTGACTCCCATTTTATTCTTGGCTTTTCTTTTCATGCTGATGATATACTGAAAAAGTTACTAAAATTTTTAAACCATATAAAACTAGACAGTCAAGATGTCAAATAACCCAAGATGCTCCAACACCTTTCTTTGTATTAAAAAAATAAGTATTATATATTATCCTTAACATTTAAGAAGGCATATACTAGTGTATATCAGCTATAAATTGGCTTCTTCAAACAGACCACTAGTCTACTCCTGCTCTTTCATCCAGCACTTTCATCAAATATTTTAATTTGCTATCACATTGAATTTTTCCCTCCTAAAGAAGCTAAAAAGAGGAATGTTATGACTCAAGGAACTACTTCTTACTCTGAGGTATCTCCAACTCAAGAAAGGCACAAGCATAGAATTCTCTGAAATGAAAAAGCATAAATGCCTTTATTAGACTATGATTACTTTTGTATCCCAGATTAAAGAATACTGTATCTTTTAAATATATTTTATAATATTATAATTGTCCATAAATTTTATATCTACTATTCAAAATTTATTTTATAATTATTATTGCATGCATTTTGGACAGAAATAATAATAAAGATATCCTCTAAAGATAGTAGAATCAATGTTGGAAAAAACTTCAGAAGACCAATTAGAATCCTATGTTCATTTTCTAAAGAATCAAGGCACAGAGTTTAAGGGACTTGCCTAGTATTCCAAGAAAAGCAACATTTCAACAGTTAAGGAAGATTATTATTTGTACTAAGTGATTAAAAAAAAATAAAAGTGGCATTAGAAGACATTTTATCCTTGGTAGCAAACAATATTGCTAGTTAACTGTTTACTGAATTCAAAAATACTTTGATCCTCCCAGTTAAAATATGTATCCTGAATTTCATGCAGATAGGAATAAGAAAGAATATCATGAAGGAAAGCTAAAATTAGAAGTTGTAGTATTAAATGATCTTTGTTCACAATAAAGAGTCAACTCAAAATCTTCTTTTGAAAACTATTACCTAACACTTGAAATTTTCATCTTCAAAGCATTTGGCAAATCTTATATCTTTCTGAATGTAATAAAAATTTTCAGCTTGTTAAACCATTGCTAAAAGCCTTAAGTGTTAGTTCTACAAGGTCTTGTAGGTCTTCATAGAACCGTTCGACTTCAGCTTTTTCAGCATTACTGGTCGGGGCATAGTTTTGGATTACTATGATATTGAATGGTTTGCCTTGGCAATGAACAGAGATCATTCTGTCATTTTTGAGATCGCACCCAAGTACTGCATTTTGGACTCTTTTGTTGACTATGATGGCTACTCCACTTCTTCTAAGGGATTCTTGCCCACAGTAGTAGATATAATGGTCATCTGATGTCCAAAAAAGATGTCCTTTTCATTATAGGGGACTGGAATGCAAAAGTAGGAAATCAAGAAACACCTAGAGTAACAGGCAAATTTGGTCTTGACATACAGAATGAAGCAGAGCAAAAGCTAAAAGAGTTTTGCCAAGAGAACGCACTGGTCACAACAAACACCCTCTTCCAACAACACAAGAGAAGACTCTACACATGGACATCACCAGACGGTCAATACCGAAATCAGACTGATTATATTCTTTGCAGCCAAAGATGGAGAAGTTCTATACAGACAGCAAAAACAAAACCGGGAGCTGACTGTGGCTCAGATCATGAACTCCTTATTGCCAAATTTAGACTTAAATTGAAGAAAACAGGGAAAACCCCTAGACCATTCAGGTATGACCTAAATCAAATCCCTTATGATTATACGGTGGAAGTGACAAATAGATTCAAGGGATTAGATCTGACAGACAGAGTGCCTGAAGAATTATGGACGTAGGTTTGTGACACTGAACAGGAGGCAATGATCAAGACCATCCCCAAGAAAAAGAAATGCAAAAAGGCAAAATGGCTATCTGAGGAGGCCTTACAAATAGCTGAGAAAAGAAGAGAAGCAAACAGCAAAGGAGCAAAGGAAAGATATACCCGTTTGGCTGCAGAGTTCCAAAGAATAGCAAGGAGAGATAAGAAAGCCTTCCTCAGTGATCAATGCAAAGAAATAGAGGAAAACAATAGAATGGGAAAGACTAGAGATCTCTTCAAGAAAATCAGAAATACCAAAGGAACATTCCATGCAAAGATGGGCACAATAAAGGACAGAAATGATATGGACATAACAGAAGCAGAAAAGATTAAGAGGAGGTGGCAAGAATACACAGAAGAACTATACAAAAAAGATCTTCATGAGCTAGATAATCACAATGGTGTGATCACTCACCTAGAGCCATACATCCTGGAATGAGAAGTCAAGCGGGCCTTAGAAAGCATCACTATGAACAAAGCTAGTGGAGGTGATGGAATTCCAGTTGAGCTATATTTCAAATCCTAAAAGATGATGCTGTGAAAGGGCTGCACTCAATATGCCAGCAAATTAGGGAAACTCAGTAGTGGCCACAGGACTGGAAAAGGTCAGTTTTCATTCCAATCCCAGAGAAAGGCAAAGCCAAAGAATGCTCAAAGTACCGCACAATTGCACTCATCTCACACGCTAGTAAAGTAATGTGCAAAATTCTCCAGGCCAGGCTTCAGCAATACGTGAACCATGAACTTCCAGATGTTCAAGCTGGTTTTAGAAAAGGCAGAGGAACCAGAGATCAAATTGCCAACATCCACTGGATCACTGAAAAAGCGATAGAGTTCCAGAAAAACATCTACTTCTGGTTTACTGACTGTGCCAATGTCTCTGACTGTGTGGATCACAACAAACTGTGGAAAATTCTGAAAGAGATGGGAATACCAGACCACCTGACCTGCCTCTTGAGAAACCTGTATGCAGGTCAGGAAGCCAACAGTTAGAACTGGGACATGGAACAACAGTACTGGTTCCAAATAGGAAAAAGAGTACGTCAAGGTTGTATATTGTCACCCTGCTTATTTAACTTATATGAAGAGTACATCATGAGAAACGCTGGTCTGGAAGAAGCACAAGCTGGAATCAAGATTGCCGGGAGAAATATCAAAAACCTCAGGTATGTAGATGACACCACCCTTATGGCAGAAAGCGAAGAAGAACTAAGGAGCCTCTTGATGAAAGTGAAAGAGGAGAGTGAAAAAGTTGGCTTAAAGCTCAACATTCAGAAAACTAACATCATGGCATCTGGTGCCGTCACTTCATAGCTAATAGATGGGGAAGCAATGAAAACAGTGAAGACTTTATTTTTGGGGGCTTCAAAATCACTGCAGATGGTGACTGCAGCCATGAAATTAAAAGATGCTTGCTCCTTGGAAGAAAAGTTATGACCAACCTAGACAGCATATTAAAAAGCAGAGGCATTACTTTGCCAACAAAAGTCCATCTAGTCCAAGTTTGATTTTTCCAGTAGTCATGTATGGATGTGAGAGTTGGACTATAAAAAAAGCTAAGCTCCGAAGAATTGATGCTTTTGAACTGTGGTGTTGGAGAAGACTCTTAAGAGTCCCTTGGACTGCAAGGAGATCCTATCAGTCAATCCTACAGGAAATCAGTACTGAATATTCATTGGAAGAACTGATGCTGAAGGTGAAACTCCAATACTCTGGCCACCTGATGAGAAGAACTGACTCATTTGAAAAGACCCTGATACTGGGAAAGACTGAAGGTGGGAGGAGAAAGGAACGACAGAGGATGAGATGCTTGGATGGCATCACCAACTCAATGGACATGAGTTTGAGTAAACTCCAGGAGTTGGTGATGGACAGGTAGGCCTGGCATGCTGCAGTCCATGGGGTCGCAAAGTCGGACACAACTGAGTGATTGAACTGAACTGAACTGAGAAGGCTTAAGTAAATTATTTCCATCTTTCAAATAATATAAAGGGAAAGAGTAGGGAGAAACTAATTAAAACAGAAATGCCACATCATCAAACATTGATTTTAATACAATTATTTTTCTCAATCCATGCTGAAAACAAGCGTTTCTTATATATAAAATAAAAGCATACTCAAGACCTTTTTTGGGGGGAGGAGATAAACAGAAAGAAATATGAAAACATAATTCACTTAAAGAGAAAGGATCTACCAAAATGCATTTATGTCAAGGGAAAAAAAAAATACAACAAACCTTAGAAACAGCCCAGTCACCAACCACATTTCACTTTCGCAAAGAGGAATACAAAGTTGAGTCTAAATTAGAAGTATAAAAGCAGTGCTAGTAAAAATACACTGGAAAGTAACTAAATATAGAACTTCTTATATCTCAGTCTTCTCCACAGCCTACCCTCCAAATCAAATAAGTCAAGTAGAAGGTGTAGGACACATGGATTCATTCCTTCACCAAAGGTACTTTCTGATTAACTGACTCAAGTGTTTGAAAATTAGAGAATTCAGAAGTTTTATCCTATCTTTCCAAGGAAAACAGCAGTTAATAACAGTCCCTACCATCACAGGCTCTGACTTTAGACAGAACTCTGTTGGCTCCGCTACTTTAAGCAACTTAAATCCTCAATGAAACTTTTATTTTAGCCTATTACCTCAAAGAGATTCCCTCCAAGATAAAACTATACAACCTGACCACATACATTGGTCTTACTCTCAGGCCTGTGTGTGTGCTAAGGTGCTTCAGTTGTGTCCTACTCTTTGCAAACCTATGGACTCAGGCCAACCTGGTTCCTCTCTCCATGGGGATTCTCCAGGCAAGAATACTGGAGTGGGTTGGCATGCCCTCTTCCAGGGGCTCTTCCCAACCCAGGGATCGAACCCAGGTCTCCCACACTGCAGGCAGATTCTGTACTGTCTGAGTCACCAGGGGAGCCGGAAGCAGAGCACAGGTCCTTTAAGTACATGA